TGTCAAAGAAAGGCAATATAAAGTATCTCTTATCTGAAACAATTTCCTAAGCAAGGGTGCTTGAATGAGGCCAAGAGGTACAAACAATTAGGTTAAGTGGAGTTTGCAACACTGAAGGCCAGAACATTAATTCCAAGTATTCCCAATTTGAATGAAGAATAGAAAGTATACAGTATCTAAAATATCCTCCATGGCACTCAGACATAAAATGTACTTTCTTTGACAGAACAATCCACTCAAGATTCACAAGAAAATCCTGATTGACTTAATTTACATTCTAAGAAAATTAAATAAGTTCTTTAGGAAGTTAATGAAGAACTCAGACTTTTTTCTTCTAAACATGCAGAAAATGGAGTATTTACAAAGAATGATTAGATTATATATTTATATTGGCACTCCTAGGGCAGAGCATTCATCTTACAACTGCTTCATAGTTTGCCAGAGATTTTGCGTTAAATTACATTAAAATTCTGATTAGAGTGTATTACTGCATTGTTGTTGTTTTGAATAGAGTTGGCATTTCTTTTGTTAACTATTCACTGATATGGAACTATTGAACCAAGGCTTAATTGAAGAAGTACCATCTGCTACTGTGAAGTTTCAAACAAATAAGGATATTTATGAAATAATTGGGACTGAATACAGACACCATATCAATCCAACAAGATGTTCCAACTGGCAAATCGTAGTTTATGATCAGCTAGCAAATCAGAATCAACATCTTTTTAATAACTATCTCAAAATATAGTTAATGCTGTATGTGACTTGGCATAGTAGTTGAACTAAATTATTTATTCTGCCTTAGGAAGAATACATCTTGAAGAAATTCAAAATTATTTGGATTCTGGAGAGCCTGGAGTCTGAGACTCCTCCTGAACACACAGCTCCTGCTGGAAAAGGAAGCTTCTATATGTTGAATTCGAAAGTTTAACTTGAAGGCCTCAATTAATGTTTTTAAAAAGCTCTTATCAAGGATAGTTGTATCACCTTTATTGAATATTAGCTCCTTCATTAACACATTGCCTATGGTCCTGAGCTGGACCTCTGGATTATCAACTGTTTTACTGTTCTTCTCCAGGTAAATTACATTACATTTCTTGTTAATACACAAAACTATTTTATAACAGTATACAATTTTGAAAGCAAAAATAATGTAGCTTTAATGTAAACATTACAAATGCTATTTTCTTCCTAGAAATATATATATATATATATGAAATATATTAAAGCTATCAAAGATCTACACTGACTTTACAATCATTCACACGAGATGTGCGAACTGTTCTTGACAACTTCATGGAGACAAGGGCCTGCACAGAGATGACTCACATCTAGAACACGTGGAAGCAGCTTATTAATCTCTTCTCTAGCCTTTGTCAAATGTTCTACAGCTATATAAAGATGAAAAAGAAGCATCATTCACTCATGAAAAATGGAAAATAATTCAGTTTGTCTCTCAACCCTTTGCCTAAGGTAATACATATATGGCTAATTACATAGCTGGTTAAAGTTTTAAATTCCTCAAAATCTCTTCCCTAGCCTTTTTCAAATGTTCTATGAATATATAAAGATCAGAAAAATCTATAACGTACTCATTCAAAATGGGGGACTAATCAGTTTTTCTCTTAACTCTTTGCCCAAGGTAATATTTTTAAATTTTTAAGTTCAGCCAAATTCTTCTAAAACAAGCTGCTCCCTTAAAAAATACTGCCTTCTTTGCCTCTTAAACCAATATTGTTTTCGGCAGTTCACAAATTAAAGCAGCACTCTTGTATCAACTGCTCTTTAGTGCTTTGTTTACCATCTACTGGAACAATTACTAACATCATGCTGGGCTAGTGAAAACAGCAAATAGATGCACTAAAAGGCTGGGACACAGGCAGCAGAATGACTTGCCCCAATTTGAAATACACCCACATTATATGCAGCTGCTATTAAGATCACTTACACTGCTGAGTTCAATAGAGTTACGCTGCCTTAGACCTGCTCTTTACTTCCCAAAGTGTAATTCAAGGTTATGTTATGATTTAGTACAGAGGTCCCCAACCTTTTCGGCACCAGGGACCGGTTCCGTGGAGAGAGGTTTTTCCGCGGATCAGAGGGTGCGTGGTTTTGTGCTGCCTGTGTCTCACAGATGGGGCTTTGCTTTTTTGTGTGGACTGGTTGCTGGCATGCTGTGGCCCGGTACTGGTTTTAGCTGATTAAAAAACACTCAGATCCAAGCAGAGCTGGACTCTAGCTGGGCAGTTCCAATGGAAATGACAGGATGTTTTTTTTTGGGGGGGGGGAAGTAATCTGGGATCAATCTGAGATTGTGAGTACCATGGAAATGGATAAAGGTCTCTATAGTGTCAGCTCTGCCACTTCTCAGTCAGATTCATATTTCTGGTGTTTAGTCAAGACCTCTCACAGGTGGTAAGAGGTTAGGATTGAGCGGCAATTTACATCTCTCTAAATAAATAGTTGGGGGCCCATCACTTCTGAAAGAAGCTGTGTTGTGCCCATTGTTCAAAAAGTCTTCTCTCAACCTGGCTATTCTTGATAATTTTGGATGGCTCTCTAATTTCCCTTTCTAGAAAAGGTTGTAGAGGAAGTGACTGCAACTTTAGGAGGCTCCAGAGGAATGGGATTAACTGGATCTTGGTAAGGAGGTTTGTGGATGACCTTTAGAGAGACTGGGATTAGGAGGGTGCAACCCTTTTGGTCCTCCTTGATCTCTCAATGGGTCCATGGTATCTTGTTGAACCAACTTTATGAGATTGGAATGGGGGTTTTTCCTATTCTTCAGTGATTTTCCTTCTTCCCAAGGAGTTAGTTCTGTTTGGTAGTTGTGGGGGGGAGGGGAAATGAGAGATCTGCTCAGAGGTCTCTACCTCACAGATTGTCTTAAGGCAGTCTATTCTCTCCATTCCTCTTTAACATCTACCTGAACCTGTTGATGGAGGGTATCTATCAGCACAGAATAGGGTATCTTTGGTATACTGATGATATTTAGTCACATCTGTTGGCACACATAATTTCTGGTACCTATTTACACAACAATAACTAGAAAAGATGTTTGTTTGTTTGTAAATTTATTTGCCACTCATCTTGTATCCAACAATGATCTTGTTGATCTCTTGCAACGTACAAGTCATTTGCAATCTTTTCTTCTCCTGATAATAGCTATATGGTTGTACTAAAGTAAAAGTAAAGGTTTCCCTGTCCACTCTTGTCTGACCCTAGGGTGAGGTGCTCATCTCTGTTTCTTGGCGGAGGAACCATTATTGTCCGAGGATGCTTCCATGATCATGTGGCCTGCACGGGTATACACCAAAGGCGCATGGAACACTTTTACTTTCCCACCAAAGTGGTACCTATTAATCTACTCACATTTGCATGTTTTCAAACTGCTAGGTGGGCGGGAGCTGGGGCAGGAATGGGAGCTCACCCTGTTGCACAGCACTCGGGTCTTGAACCTGGGCTGTCAGCTTTCCAACTGTCAAGTTCAGTGTCTTTAAATGCTGAGCCATTGCACCCCCTTTATAAACTGTATTATTTATTTATCGCAATAACACTTAGACTTATATACCGCTTATATACCACTCTAAGCGGTTTACAGAGTCTGCCTATGGCCCCCAATAATCTGGGTCCTCATTTTATCGACCTCGGAAGGATGGAAGGCTGAGTCAACCTTGAGCTGGTGAGGGTCAAACTCCTGGCAGTCAGCAGAATTAACCTGCAATACTGCATTTTAACCACTGTGCCACCACGGCTCTTATAAACTGCATGGCTTGCCTTGCACTTAGCACAACGTAAGAACCTACAATAACACATGAAGCTCAGGAGAAGCTACCACTGGCTACAGACATTGTGTTCTCTTCATTTAGATGACTCAGAAACTGCAACTATTGTAATGCAAAATGGAGCAGTCCCTATATTGATTGGAACACCTGATAATGTCACGAAACACCAATACTGAAGGATCTGCTTTGATTGCCTAATTTGTTTCCAGGTGCAGTTCACAATGCTGGTAACCACCTTGAAAGTTCTATACAGGTTAAAGTCTGGCTACTTATGGCACTATTAGATAAAGTAAAATCTGTCCTCCCACTCCCAATTTTAATATTCAGGAAGTTCTAAAAACCATGGCTTTTTAAATATGCAATTTGAAGCAGTTGTATGCTTTACTATACTTACTGAAACAGTAGTAGGTGGAAGTAATTGTATGTAATGAATATTTTGTAGTTCAGTGATATTTGACACTATGGTTTTACATTTGTTTTCTATAATTTATTGAATATCTTGATACATTTTTATCATTGTATTGATATATATTTGTACACTGCCAAACTAAAGCAAGCTCCTTACATCATTAAAGATGTAGTTTGGAACTGAGTTGACTCTCTTCCTTCCAATCAAACTATCTGAAACTCTGCTGTCTCTTATTCCTCTGAAATGCATTTCCTCCCTCCTGGGAACCAGACTACATTCCACTACACCATGCACCGATCAGTTTTTTTGGCACCTGCAATGGTATAGCACAACAACAATAAAGTGTACCTTTTGTACCTTTGGGTTATTTTTCACTCCTAATGACTGCAGATTACTTTCTGAATAAGGCATGCATTGTGATTTAATTGAACTTTAAATTTCAAGAGCCAGTTTGGTCTAGTACAGGAGTAGGCAACCTTGGCTCTTTTATGACTCGTGGTTCTGGGAGTTGAAGTCCACGAGTCATAAAAGAGCCAAGGTTGCCTACCCCTGGTCTAGTATTTAAGACACCAGGCTACAAAGCAGGAGACAGTGAGTTCTAGTCCCGCCTTAGACTTGAAAGTCAGCTGGGTGATTTGAGGCTAGTCAGTCTCTCAGCCCAATCCACCTCACAGGATGGTTGTTGTGGAAAAATAGGAGGAGGGAATATTAGATATGCTCTCCACCTTCAGTTGTTTATAAAAATAATAAATAAATAAATTTCATACCTGCAATTTACACTAACATCATTTATATACTTGACTTACCTAATTCTTTAGATCCTTGACTTTCACTGGCCAATTCTCCCATTTTAACCAGGGCATCAAAGTATCCTTTTGCAGCGTATGTCACACCTAGATAGTAAAAAGTATACAATTAAAACATTATACCCATATTTATTTTAACTCAAATTCTCAAAATATCTCACAAAAAAGTTGTTATAGCATCTGTTTGATTATTTTCATTCATAGTAACACTATAACCATTTATAATAATTATAACATTGATCAAATTAACTATATTAAAACTTTTACTATTAATACTATTTTATTTTGCAGAAATTAGCCATTATCACTATTTGATCCTAGGAAGAAATCAAAATGGCATCTTTAAAATTACTAGTAGGTGCTATTATAGCATTAACAGCTTTCACTGTCTAGATGTTAGGATTATAGAAAACATCCCATATAAATTAAATACAGGGAATTAGGAGAACGCTAAAATTTGCAAAAATTTCAATCCAATTCCACATTATTACAGGTAGTCCTCAACTTACGACCACAATTGAGCCCAAAACTTCTGTTGGTAAGCAAGAGAGTTGTTAAGTGAGTTTTGCCTCACTTAACATTTTACGACCTTTCTTGCCACAGTTGCTAAGTGACTCACTGCAGATGTTAAGTTAGTAACACAGTTGTTAAGTGAATCTAGCTTCCCCATTGACTTTGCTTGTCAGAAGTTGATAAAAGATAATCACATGACCCCAGGCCAGCACAACCATCATAAATCATGCCAGTTGCCAAACATCTGAATTTTGATCATGTGACCAGGGGGATGCTGCAACGGTTGTAAGTGTGAAAAACGTATGCCCCTTTTTGCAGTGCCTTTCTAACTTCGAACGGACACTAAACATCACGGACTACCGGTATTCCATCAGTCTTCCTTAACCTGGCCCTCTAGAAGGCATGTGAATTTCAGCTTCCCAAGGGCCACAGCAATGCCATGCGGCATGGCATCTAGGCTGGGAAGTGCTAAAATATAAAATGTATCGTACCTTTTATCATCAGGCCACCCCCCCCCCAAACTTTGTTAAGTATTTGAAATTTAGTCAAAGTCAGATAACGGGAAGCTACCAACCTTGATGGATTTGTCTGGATTGCTTAAGCTTTTGGAATCTAGGTATACAGCCTGAATTTACCTTTTCCAAGACAGCTCAATAAAGCATACACGTCCTTGATATTACCTTAAGAAGGCTCTAAAACTATTATTAAGATGTATTTATATATCTGAAGATGGTAGAGGACAGGAGGACCTGGAGGAGCGTTGTCCATGGGGTCGCGATGGGTCGGGCACGACTTCGCAATTAACAACAACAACAAATTTATATATTTAGTGTATGGCATATTATTAAGAAACTAACTAGTATGTGCTTTCATATGCAGTTCATAGATTTAAGGTGGTTTGTTGAAATTCTAACTGGGCACACATCATTTTAATCAGATAAGCAGAGAACTCCTCATAGTCACAAGAATCCCAAGAGTATGTTGCATAGGCTTTGTCACCTAAGTTGTGACAATTCGTCAAAATAGGTTTGTCTCTTATATTATGTTGTTCTTGCAAATGCTGTCTATTTAAAATGCTTGCATTTCAAGAGGACCCAGATCAGAAAATGAAAGGGGGAGGGGGAAAAGATTGCCATTTATTATTATAGATTTATGATGAAAATGTGTAATTCAAAGCTCGAATCAGATGAACCAGAGTGGAAGCATCAATTCTCATTAAGATATCTTAATGTATTTCTCTTACCACTATATCTAGAATAAATATGGACCAAGCATGAAAGAAGTTATTCAGTATTTCTGAAATATAGTTTTGTTAAATGAGTTTAATATAGTCACATCCCTCTTCTATAATACAGGACATTAATTGATTCCTCTTTTATTTTTAAAGCATAGTTACTGGTTCCTTTTAAAAAAAAAACCTGAACTCTAAAAGCCCATTTATTCTCCAATAAATGTCTTGGGCTCTGCAGCTATAATATAAAATATACAGTATATTTGCATATAAGGACTCCAGTTACCATTTGGTTCAAAACTATGTGAAAGTAAGCCAAAGTTCAACAATTCTTTAAATTGTTTATTCTTTTTCTTTAATAAATATAAACCCCTTAAAATTGTACTTTTCCACATTTCTCAGATGAACAAGGAGAAGAGGTTTACTTGTCATTCCTCTGTGCCTAGTTCTTTTACTACCACTTCTCCAGAAGGGTTGGGATTTCAACAGACTGAATTCCCAGACATTACAGTTCATTGTTGGCCCTATATTTAATTTATACCTCCTGCCTATTCCATAATAGTTACCATAACTAAATTGCCCATAATAATATCAGCCCTTTATTATATTGCATCTTAAAATCTAAAACATAATTTGACATAATAAATCTTTTTGCATTTGTTAGAAAGGTGACAATTCTAAAACTTCAGCAATAATTATATTAACCAATATCTGGATGTGCACTTAATTGTGGGAAAGATAGTGGTGTAGATTACTTCTTGGCCTTTTGCCTAAAAGCAAATAATGTTATGGGATAAATGTAGATAATGCAATTTTAAAAAATCATTCTGAAAAATCTGAATTGCAAAGTAACTGATTTATCATGAATACAGTAAATACAGAGAACACTTATAAATATTCATTTTAACCTTGTTTAATAAATGTTTTCCATGCAAGAATACAAGGAAGTTGTATTGAAATGTTGGATTTTAAATTAGTTGCACTGTTGTAAATCATGCTATGTCTTTTACTTCTGCTGATTTTGGTCATAGAACTCTTGTATATGTAAGTACACAATTGTACTACTCAACTGTAAAGCCTTCACAAACATTCATATTTTATACATGCATACATACATAGAATGGGAATGCATATCAAAGGTGAGGAGTCTATGATCAACAGCAAGGGATGCTGGGAAATGCAATTTAGTAACATCTGGGGGCCATAGATTCCCGTCCTTGTCCATTTATTGTTTATGCTTACTATGTTCATATAGATAATCCTCAACTTATGACCACAATTGGAATTTCAGTTGTAAGTCAAGGCACTCATGTGACTGAACCTATTTTTTTTTCTATTTTTACAGCAGTTGTTAAACAAATCACACAGTTGTAAGTCGAATAACACGATCATTAAGCAAATCCATTCTCCTCAATGGGCATGGGTTTTTTTTACCAGAATCTGTCAAAAAACATCACAAATTGTGGTCACATAACCGCAAAACACTGCAACTGGTAGTAAATGCAAACCGGTTGCCAAGAGCCCAAAATGCAGTTGTGTGACTGTGGTGTGGGCAGACAGTGGTGCAATGTTTTATGACAGCCAGAAGTGTTTTATGGGCCATGACCCTCCTCCCTTTCTGGGGCTGTTGTAACTTCAAATGGTCATTAAACGACTGATCATAAGTCAAGGACTACTTGTACCGATCTAAAGCAATGTGGAAAACGTACATTATTCTTGTAAAATTGTCTATTCCATGGAATATGAATCAATTCATTATGATGAGGAGTCCTTGGTGCTCTCTGATCTTGTTTCTGCACAGATAATGTTATCTAGTTTGAGTAATGAAACATCTGGAAGAAAGCAACTAAGCTCAGATAATAGCAAAGATCCCTGATTTCAACCCTGAGCTACAAATATGCTCCTTTATTATGATGAGCTAAAAAAAGCATTATATGTTAAAATGTCATGAAAACAGGGCTGCATAATTTCATGCATTTTTATGATAGAATAACATCTTATGTAAATTTTCTTTCTGGCAAAAAGATCGCACCAATACATATTTTAACTCAAAGCTTCAATACTTCAGCTTGTTTTGAAGACTGCAGTTCAGTCTCTGAATACACTGAATAGGAAAGTGCAGATTCTGAACGTATATGGAGTCTCTTGCTATGAGAAAGCCCAGATCTGTCTGCACCATAGAAAATGTAGACTTTTAGCAGGTACCAGTTGTAGTCCCAGCACCTCAAGTAGCCACTGGAAAACAGTTCAAAGATATGCTAAGTAGCTGGCTCACAAAGATGAGGAGCAGCTGGTTCTAACAGATTTCTCTAAATCAGAAGATCCAGTATTCACACTGGTTTGACTCTGCTGGCTCCAGATTAGCAAAGCAGTGGGACAAGACTATATAACCTCTTTTTATTTATTCAACCTTTGTGCTGCATATATATTGAGGGAAGATGGATTGGAAGAAAAGGAGAGTGGTTTTACAGTTGATGAAAGAAACATCAATAATCTTTGCTATGCTGATGACATTAATATGATAGCTAAAAATGCAAATAATTTGCAAGCTCTCCTAATGAAAGCCAAAGAACACAGTGAAAAATGACTGATTAAACCTACTACAACCAACCTTAGAACTGACACTGAAATGGTAGATAGCTTCTGCCTTTTAGCCTTTTGGTAGATAGTTTTATCAATAATAAAGAGCCAGCAGTCAAGAAATAAGCCACAGACTAGCACCTGGTAGGGTAGCAATTAAGGACTTAGAAAAGATATACTGATACTGTGATGTGCACAAAGATCAGAATTGTGCAGGCAATTATTTTCTTGTGGCACTATGGAAGCAAAAGCTGAACTGTAAAGAAGAAGGGTAGAAAGAGTATTGACACATTTGAACTCTATTGAAGAAGACTCTTGAGAATACTATGGAGAGCAAGAAAACAAACACATTAATCATAGAACAAAGGATTAAGCTCAAATTCTGGACATATTATGAAAAGACTCAGCTCCCTTGAAAAAAATCTCTGACTCTGAGTGAGGTGGAAGGAAAAAGAAGACAACCAACCATAAAGGTGGCTGGATGCTGGATTTGATTACAGTGGTGATAGGTGCACTTTTGAGATACCTGAATGGCCAAATCAGGGATACATAATCCCAGAGGAGACCTTATGGCAGTGGCGGTGAACCTATGGCACGCGTGCCAGAGGCGGCACTCAGAGACTTCTCTGTGGGTATGTGCACCATTGCCCCAGCCCTGCCTCCCCGTGGCCCCTCCTTACCAGCAGCCCCCCCCCCCAGAGGAGAATCACCCCTGTGTGTGGCCCATGCAGAGCAGTGCAGCCAAGGACATGTCATCCAGGGAGCAGGGACAAGACTCCACATTTGCGCCCTGTTGCATGCAGATGCTGCTGCAGGGCGAGGGTGGAGGGTATGGCTGCCATGGTGCTGCAGGGTCGCCTGGGTGATCTATGGCGGGCCATGGAGGTGTTAGGTGGCCCTGCGGGCAGGCAGGGCAGTGGTGGAATGGGTAGGGCAGTGGTGGGGTGGTTTTGGGCACTCGGTGTCTAAAAGGTTCGCCATCACTGCCTTATGAGTTCACCAAGAGTCAACACTGACTTGATGGCACAAATTTTATTTAAATAAAAACCAGCAAGCAAAAATCCCAAGGATGCTAGCTATACTTCAAACAAGCTGGCAAAATCACTGATATAGTGAAATTAATAAGAAAACAACAAAGAAACATTGGGGGTGGGGGGGAAACACAACTGACCTCCCAAATGAGTTGAAATATTGACAAAAACATATAAAGGTTTTCTAGCCCAGGGAAAATAACCAGAACAGAAAGTGAGATGCACTAAGTCCAAAATGTATTAGTTACCTTTACCAACCAAAGCCGCTTTCTAAAATGATGACGTTAACTATGTTCTATTCTTGTGAAGAGTTTTGGATTTGGATTGGATTTGTGCTAATTTGCCTCTAGATGAGATGGATGGCCCAAAAATCAGATCAAACCAATCTAAATCTAAGCTGGATTTTGCATTTCCAAAACAGGGGGAATCACTATTGTTTGCTTTTCTAGAGAGAGACCTCTTGCAAACTGAATAAACCTTAACATCTTGAGAACATTCATGTTATTTTGACTTAATAAATATATATATTTATAATGTGGCTATTGGAATGTTCACATGCACCAAATCTGGGCTATATGGGGGGGGGGGTGATCAAAAACATCCCAACAGAACTGCTTCAAAAGTTCTTGGGTGCGTCTAGCGCAGCGGTTCTCAATCTGTGGGTTGCGACCCCATTTGGGGTCGAACGACCATTTCACGGGGGTCGCCAAACAATGCAATCCACCATTTTTTCCCCTTTTCCTTAGCTGTGCTACTCCCTTTTATTCTATTGGCTTTTGAAAGTCAATAGAATAGACTCTCTTGAATAGAGTCTAATTCTATTGGCTTTCAAAAGCCAATAGAAATTGTCCAGGCTGTCTCTGCCCTGCTGAGCCCGCCAAAAGTCCCATTCTGCAAATGGTGCTGCAAGTTGTCTGCAGCGAGGCGAGCTGTCTGGAAGTTTCCACCCCTCCCTGCTGAGCAACTACTAAAAATGTAAGTAAAAGAGGGCCAGGGGTGGGAGGTGGGAGGCCGGCGGGCGCAGGGAGGGTTGCTGGCACGCGTGGGGCCCAGCGATTGCCTTACCTCCCTTGGGCTGGGCCAGCTGATGGCCCAGCCAGTGGTCGCCCTGCGCTGTCACTGCCCCTTGCCAGCTACGCCTCGGCCAGTGCAGGGGGCGGCACCACGCATGCGCGTCGCTCCCAGGCAGGGAATGTCCTCGATTTATGACTGGTTGGGTAGTCCTCGACTTACGACCGGTTGGGTAGTCCTCGACTTACGACCGGTTGGGGGGGTCGCGTCAATTAAAAGGTTGAGAACCACTGGTCTAGCGGTGTGCGGGCGAGCATTATCCTGAACCAACACCACACCGGAAGTGGTGCCATAGAAAATCCTGCCAAATGTGAAGATGCCAAAGGAGCACTACTAGTGAAGTTCATGGAGTGTGGTTCGACCATCAGTTCAGAAGTCTATTGTGAAACGGTACGAAAACTCAGACAACCATCCATTACAAGCGTCGAGGCATGCTGACTTCCAGTGTGGTGTTGGTTCATGATAATGCTCACCTGCACACCACTAGATGCACCCAACAACTTTTGAAGCAGTTCTGTTGGGATGTTTTTGATCACCCCACCCCCCCATAGCCCAGATTTGGCACCAAGCGACTACTACAAAGGAATTTCAAACCTTGTAAGACGTTATGACAAGTGCCTCAATTTGAATGGCGATTATGTCAAAAAGTAATATAATGTTTACTTTTCTAATGTGTATAATAAAAGTTCTGTATCTGCGAAGGGCAGTCACTGATCACCAAACTGAGGTTTATTTCTGAATTGCCCTCATACAATGCTACCATTTGCAATTGTTATTTTTAAAAAAGTACAGTATGTTAACAAAGCACAGGGAGAGAAGATGACATAGAGAGACTAAGAAAACAGAAGTCCCAAGAACACAGAACGGATTATCTTGTTGATAAGCCAGCAGCCTGTTTCTGGCTCATAATTGTAAAGAAGATATTTTTTGTTACAGCACTCTGAGAAGTCTTCCTTAAGAGAGCTTTCATGCCTCATGTGTCATAAAGAATATTATCCTTGTAACTTAATTCAAAGAACTGCTTTGTAGCTTGCCTATGATAGCTGAAAGCCTCTTTAGCGCTCAGAATGATGCTGACAATACTTTCCATAGATACTACTAGTTTTTCCCACCTCAGCCATCACCAAAAAACAGGTGCCATTTCTACAGTTGTCATGTTACAGCCATGACAAAGTATATAGTGTTACTTTACTTACCTGCCAAGGCCTTTTCATAGTTCTTTCCCATGGATATGAAGTTCCGGAGGCTGGGATTAAACTGTTCCATGATTGTCTATAAGAAAACAGAAGACATTAGCAATCTAAATATGAATGCCATTTGTGTTTTTCTACTTTTTCTATACAACATGTATGAATACACAGGACATTAACCCACCATCCCATGAATTCTTAGAAAGAGAATCTTCCCATATACACATACCCAGGTAATACTAACCTACATCATTCACATTTTATAAGAAAATGATATATTCTAACAACTTATTCTATGATTTAACTATATAGCTACATACAATAGGCATTCCAGATACCACAACTTTCTTATATTGCTATTCAGTTTGCCAGGAATGAAAAATATGAAACTGAAACAAGTCTGAAAAACAACTAACTATGAGATATATACAATGAAATATGTAAACACAATACAGCTAAATAAGTTCATTGATTTGGTCGTATGCCTTCTTACACATATTTTTACAAAGATATTTTTCTCAGATTTTACAACACTAATATAAATGTTATATTACAACCCATTCCTCTAAGTCCCAGTTAAACATAGGGGCTTTATAGGTTATTTGTTTATTTGTCTTTTATGGCCACCAGTTTGGACATAGGCAGTTTATATTAAAAATCCAATAAAAAAAAAACACTCAGAATGTGAAAATTGTAAAAATTAAATGAGGCTATTGGGAAGTACATAAATACAATTTCAACTATCTCTGGTCTGTCATCACTCCATGAGGATCACAAAACATCTTGGTCCTTAGTTCTTTGAAAAAACGAGTTTTTGATGTCTTTCTAAAGCAGAGTTCTTGGGAAATGAAGCAACAACAGAGAAGCCCTCACTGCATAATCTTACAAAAATGCATTGCTTAGTTGAAAGGAGCTGCTGCATGTCCACCCAGTCAGACTTCATAGAACTAACAATCCCACAAGCGAGCCCCCCTCTGATGCCTTTCTGGAAAACTATAAAGACCTGGCTTTTCTGCAGGGTCTTTCAGGATTGAGACCTGTATCAATCGCTAATCAAGTGCTCCATTACCAAAGTAACAACCCAACATCCTCCCACAAGAGGAGCTGTGTAAGAACATTATTCAGACAATTACAAGCAAAACGAAGCAATCCAGAACAGCAGAAAAAGGAAATAGATTCCCCATCCAACATCTTCCAACAAAATGGATAGATACCCACACAATTTTATCAAAAAGTGCATGACTACTCGATCCACCACAGCACAACCAATACAAGATATGAAAAGCGCAATTCTGCCATACATTATAAACATATCAGAAGCAACCAATAGACCATTACAATCACTTAGCATCGCCATAGCACACACACCAACCAAAGCCCTCCAAAACATCTTAAATAAACCAAAAGAAGAAAAGAATGAACCAAGACAGAAAAGCAGGAGTCATCTACAGCAGGGGTCCCCAACCTTTTGGGCACCAGGGACCCGTTCCGTGGAAAGAGGTTTTTCCGTGGATTGGAAGGGGAGTGGTTTCGTGTGCTGCCTGCATCCCGCGGATGGGGCTACACTTGTTTGCGCGGACCAGTTTCAAACATGCCACAGATTGGTGCCGGTCCACGGACTGGGGGTTGGGGACCCATGATCTACAACATGTATAGTGTAATGATTATGATAGCCACTATGTAGGATAGACAGGCAGAAGACTACCAGAGTGCATCATGAACACCAAATAGCAATCAAAAGACACTATGAAAACTCTTTATAATCACAATACATGGACAAACTCAATCACCATTTCAACCGGGGAATTGTGAGCATCCTAAATCAAGCTAAATGCAAAAAAAGCTAGGGAATTCCTGGTTGCTTTGCATTCTGACAAATCAGCCATCAATAGAGTCGTAGAGATAAACCACATTTATAGACCATTCCAGAGGGACAATAAAAAAGCTAAAAAGGAAACAATGGTGAACTATTTAATTCCTCCTGTTGCTATAAAATAACCGTTAACGAGTTTACAAGAATTAAAGATCTTTTTTAAAAGAAGGTTATTTTACTGAGAAGTAACCTCTAGTTTATCACAGCTATAAACAACCAGAATGAGAGCAATTGGCTTAAATAGATAGGTTCTAGCAAATGTTTGCAAGGTAAAATAGAAACATGTCAGACAACAAAAAATGAACTCCCTCTTTGTTTGAAAACTTTCCCAATTGCTTTGCAAGGGCTTCCCAGATTTTTGTGCTCCTCTGAAAATTAACTACCAAAGCAGACATTTTAAAATGTAAAACAGAGTTACTTCTAAGTTAAAGTAAAAGAAAAAATGACATGGATGCATACACCAAATATTTACTGAAACATATTGAAACAAAAATATAAATTACAAATTATCTGCTCTTGTTAATGATCTCTGGCAAGTGCAGTATGGAGATCTATCCTTCCTTTCCTTGACCTCTCAGCAGCTTCAGTCCCACTGATCATGGTATTTTTTTGGGACAGCTGTGGGTGACAAAGATACCATGGAATCTTTTGGGAGCCGGGTGACAGTCTTGCACTGATATGGCTCCTTTCTCCAAGGCAGATCCTAATCAGTGTTGATAGAGAGTGAGGTCCAGTCCAAGGCTGCTCCTCTGTGGCATGATGCAAGACTAGGTACTGTCTCTACTCCTTTTAAACACCTACTTGAAGTCTCTAGGTGAAACCATGAGATGAGGTGCCATCAGTATGCTGGTGATACTCAACTTTACATCTCCATCCCCAGTGAGTCAAGCGATTCTGTTGCTGCCCACTGAAAGCTGTGAGGGTCTGGATCAGGGATACAACAGGCTTTGCTTGAACCCTGGTAATATTTAGTGGCTTTGGGTGCATGGAGTCAGGAACCGGGAGTTTGACATCTTTAGTTTTGGATAGGTATCCATCACCCCAGACAGACTTGGTGTAGAACTTGAAGGTTTTCCTGGATTCGCAACTCCTGTTCAAAGAGCAGATGGCAGTCGCGGCTAGGCTAATCCTTTGTGCAACTTTGTATTGTATGCCAGTTGTGCCTCTTCCTGGATCAGGAGTCCCTGCACTTAGTCACTCAAGGCCTGGCCATTTCACATTGGACTATTGCAACCGCTCTACTTGGGGCTACCCTTGAAGAGTATTTCAAGCCTACAGCTGGTGCAGAATGCAGCCATGAGGACAGTTATTGCAGTCCTTAGAGTGGTCCATGTTACACCAATGTTCCATAAGCTGCACTGTTTGCCAATTTGCTTCCGGGTCCAATTAAGGTGATGGTTATCACTTTTAAAACCCTTCATGGCACGGGCCCAAATTATCCGAGGAACTGTCTCACCCCAATGGGTTTGGCTCAACCCACCTTCACCAGCAGAAAGGAGGATGCTGTAGACCCCGCCAGTCAAGGAATTCTGGTTGGTGGGGTTCAGGAGAAGAGCCTTTTCTGCATTGGCTCATGCCCTTTGGAACAAGATCTGTACCCACACTTTTGGCTTTCTGAAAGGGGCTGAAGATCTGGGGCACCAATGGGGGGTACATCATTAAAATAAAATCCCATCTCCCCCCCTGGTGTTCATCTTGCTCTCTTCCTTCCCATCTTTGTCACTATATGTTACTATATGTGGTTTTAATTTTTTTATTAGGTTATACTGCTGTAAGTTGTCCAGAGTTACCATGAGGGGGGATGGGCAGCAAACAAATCAAATCAAATCAAATAAATAAGGGGCGGAAAGCCAAGAGTTGAAAAACAGAAGACAGCAGCAATCTCTTCACACACCCTGTTCACATCACTGAAACCTCAAAGAATCCAGAATAACCAGACAAGTATTACTAAAATTAAACTTTTGCTGACAGGAGAATAACCAACTGCCATCAGGATGGATTTCAGTTGGTGTAATCATACATTCACTGCAGCTTTTCTCATCTGAGTCATCTGACAGAAAGTTTCAAATGAAGAATTACTGGGTGTCAGCAACCTGGACATTAAGGTCCAATTTCCTATGGCCCACACTTTCTTGTCAGTGGGACAGGTAGTGGCTGAGATACTTGCTGAGATACTGAGAAATTTTGACTGGGATAAAAATTGTTGTTTTATCCCACCCAAAGCCCATAGTTTGATTCTAAGCCAGCCTGGATAAACCTAGACTCATCTTGGTTGCAGATCACATCTATAACATTGCACCTGTACACACAAGCCCCAGGATGGATTGTTGATTATCTATTTTACAGTCAAAAAGTGGAAAATCAAAGCTTTTTTATACAAATACTGTGGCAGCTGACCAAGAATATATGATTGGGTGTATAGACAGAGAGTGGCAGAGAATCAAGTCTAGGCTCTGCTGAGAAGAAATTTAAAATATTTTGAGTGATTAACAGATTTTCTTGTTTAAAAAAGCCTCACATGCATGGGAAAATAGGAGGAACGTTTGTTGGATATGTTCACCGCCTTGAGTTATTTGTAGAATTAATAACGAAGGGGTACAAATAACTAACTAAATAGAAAATATGTGCCCACACATATAAGAGGAGGAGGATAGCCAGGCTCAGAATAAGGAAGGGCTCACTTACCTCCAGTTAGTGAACTATGTTCTTAAAAACTTTTTCTTATAATCACTAAAAAGGCTCTTTGTTCACTGAGTAACAAGCTGTGAGCAAGTCCTCCTGCTACTGTAGCTCCACAGTCCCCAAAGTCATTCAATCGCTTTGTCATTATGGCACCTTACAAATGAGACAAGGAATTTGCTAACTGAGCTTGGTCGGAATCACAACTATTCCTGTTCTTTCAGGCCCAGAAGCTAATCTCTGAATGTCACCATGCAGTATGGCAAACCAGAGTCAGATAATAAGAGGGTTGAGGGAAAGAGGCTGTTACCAACAGAACAAGAAGTTCAGCACAGAATCCATGTTATTTTTTTAAAAAAAATTATCATCATTAAAAGCCTGTCAGAGCTCTAGTAGTGGGGTCTTTGGCATAGCACCCCTGGGTACCATGACAGCAGCAGCAACTGCCAACTGTGCCCATGAAGCTGCGTCCCTTCAGACCTTCCAAAATGAATTTTAAAGGCCATTTGCATTTGGCTTAAAGCCCTCCT